CCAGAAGAAGCACCATTGTTTGAAGGATAATAGATATTGAAAAAGAGAAAGTAAAGGAATGGGACAAGAAATTAAACAGAATGGCATTGTTATAGAAGTCAAAGGAAGAAAGTTTCAAGTGGGAAGAGAGTGACCATCAGTGTCAGGTGCTACAGAGGATCAAGTGGAATAAAAATTAGACGCCACCAAATTTAGCAACTAGGAAGTTACTTATTTCCTTTGAAAGGCAGTTTTGATAGTGTGGCAAGGATGTCAGTAGTCAGGTCATGATAAATCATCTGATTCCTCTTATTTGAGGAATAAATGGGTAAAATTACTCTTTTAATAATGGTTATAGCCAGGCATGGTGGTGCATGCCTATAATCCTAGCAGTTCTGGAAACTGAGGCAGGAGGATTGCAGGTTCAAAGCCAGACTCACCAATTCAGCAAGGCTGTAAGCAACCTAGTGAGACTCTTTCTCAAAATGAAAAGGGCTAGGGATAAGGCTTAATGGTTAATGTCCTTCGTTCAAAAAAAAAAAATGGTTGTGAAAGAGAGCTACTGGTAGTGAGACTAGTTTTTATTGAGAATTTGCTATATGCCATGTACCATAAAGATGGTTTGTAGAGCTGGGTATGGTAGTGGACACCTGTGATCTCAGAGACTTGGAAAACTGAGGCAGAAAGATCTTAAGTTCAAGACCAGCCTCAGCAACTTAGTGAGACCTTGTCTCCAAATAAAAAGGACTAGCTAAGTAATTCACTGGTAGAGCCCTTGGGTTCAATCCTCCGTGCCTTAAAAAAAAAAAAAAAGTTTTATATATCCCTATAGCCTGTGCCTCAGTGGTAGAACACTTGCAAAAATATGGTTACCTGTAGACAAGAATTTGAACAAGGTCTACCTATTTGTGAAATCTGTGTTTCAGATTATGACATGTATATCTTTTTAATGTGGGTGAAATGTAGGTTGTTGGGTAAATTTACCTAGAACCTAACATTGGGCATTTCTTTTTGTCCTTTTAAATTTTATTTTGAGAATTGAACCCACAGGTGCTCTACCACCGAGCTTCATCCTCAGTTCAGCTTAAGTTGCTGAGGGTGACCTTGAACTTGTGATCCTCCTGTTTTAGCTTCCAGAGTTGTTGGGATTATAGGTGTGTACCACCATACCTGGCTGGTTTGTTTTTTCATACACACACACACACACACACACACACACACACACACACAATACCTTTACTTATTTATCTTTATGTGGTGCTAAGGATTGAACCCAGGACCTCACACATGCTAGGTGAATGTTCTGCCACTGAACCACAACCCCAGTCCCAAAGTCAATCCTTCTTTTTTTTGTGTGTGTGTGTGTGTGTGGGTGGGTGGTGCTGGGGATTGAACCCAGGGTCTTGTGCATTTGGGGCAAACACTCTGCCAACTGAGTTATATCCCCAGCCCCTGGCTAGTTTTATTTAATTGTAAAACAAACACATGTGCTCATTCCCTTGAATTTATTTAGAATTAAAGTTTACTTATTTTTAGTGTTTTCCTCCTGTGTAAAAGTGTTTATGGATATATTCTTAGTATCATACATTTCATTTTGTACAAAATAAATGTGTTTGAGTTTGAAATCTTTATTTATTTTTTTTAGTTGTAGTTGGACACAATACCTTTATTTTGTTTGTTTATTTTTATGTGGTGCTGAGGATCGAACCCAGTGTCTCACACATGTTAGGTGAGCATTCTACGGCTGGGCCACAACCCCAGCCCTGAATTTGAAATCCATGATAAGGACTTTTATGGGAATTTCATCTTTTTTAAAAAAAATTTTTAATATTTATTTTTTAGTTGTAGTTGGACACAATATCTTTATTTCACTTATTTATTTTTATGTGGTGCTGAGGATCGAACCCAGGGTCTCACATGTGCGAGATGAGTGCTTTACCGATAAGCCACAACCCCAGCCCGGAATTTCATCTCTTTCTAGTTGATGAAACCCAATTTTTATGTTGTATTGTGTGGGTGATGGTGAATGTTGTGGACCAACAATGGGTATTATACTGTTTCCCAAGTCATCAAATGGAAATGACTTCAGTGTAGTCTCACTTGTGTTATTTTTGCTGAGCAATCAGGGAGTGGTTGTTTCAGAGAAAAGCCAACTTAGAATTTTTAAATCTTCCATTCCTGAACATTTTATTTTCTTTTAGTTTTTTTGTGATACTTGGGGATGGAACCTAGGGATGTCTTACCACTGAGTTACATCCCCAGTTCTTTTTTTTAATTTTTTTATTTTGAGGATTGGGAATATAGATCAGTGGTAGTGTGCCTGCCTTGCACAATGAGGCCCTGGGTTTGATCCCCAGTACCACACACAAAAAATTGCCTGATGTGGTGGTGCATACCTGTAATTTCCATGCCTTGGGAGACTGAGGCAGGAGAATCACAAGTTCAAGGTCATCCTCAGCAATTTAGCAAGACCCTGTCTCAAAAATTAAAAGGGCTGGGAATGTAACTCAGTGGTAAAGGCCCCTAGGTTCAGTCTCTAATACCAAATCAATCCATCAGTCAATAAGTTTTATTTTGAGACAGGGTTTTGCTGTGTTGCTGAGGCTGGTAGAACTGAACTGGTGATTCTCCTGCCTCACCTTCACAAGTTGCTGGGATTATAGGCACGTGTCATCATGCCAGGCATTCTTGAATATTTTAGAAAGGCAGTATGATCAAAAGAAAAATATTGAAAGTTTCATCCCATGCCTTTCCCCCATCTGCCCCATTCCTTGTCCTCTTGCAGTGATCTTTTTTTCCATTGTTGGGAATTGAACTCAGGGCCTCTTGCATGCTTGATAAGTGCTCTGCCACTTTTAGCTAAAAATGCATCAACATCCCCTATCTTTACATTCTTTTAGACTTTCTTGAGGCAAATGCTTACAAACATGAGTATATAATTTTATTTGTCCCATTTTTCATGTAAAAGTCCTATGGTTTCCCACTGTTTTGCATTGCTCTCCATCTGCAGTCTTGACTTTTCACTTAATATATCTTAGAGACTTTTCCAGGTCAGTACATAGAAAGCTTCCTCATTCTTTTTTATTTGTTTTTAAGAACTTGTATAGTATCCAATAGATTTCCATGGAATGGATGTATCATAGTTTATTTAACTAGTTCCTCATTATGGATATTTATGTTTCAGTTTTCAAATGTTACAAGCAATGTTGTATTGAAGACCTTTGGACATGCTGTTTTACATGTGTTCAAGGGTATTTATGGGATAAATTCACAGAAGTGGAATTTCTAAGTTAAAGTATATTTGCAGTTTTCATTATGAAATTTATTGCTAAATTGCCTTCCTTAGAGGTTGTTCCTATATACATTGCCTGTACACTCACTACATTGGTTGTATTGTAGCTAATATTTATATAATGCTTACTGTATGCATGGGCACTGTTCTTAGTGCTTCACATACATTACCTTATTTAATCTTAGTGAAATTCCTATGAGGTAGGTGATTTTATTACCTCTGTTTTTCAGATGAATACACTAAAGAATAGAAAATTTATATGACTTGTCCAAATCACACAGCTAATTAAGCAGTTGAAGTTTAAACTAAGTACTCTGGCTCTAGGATCAGTGATGTTAGTGTTATGCCTTGCTGTTATCAAACTTGAATTTTTGCCAATCTGATAGGGAGAAATTGTACCTCAGAGTAGTTTTAGTTTTTAAAAAATTATGCTAAGTATCTTTTTATATGTTTGAGTTATTTCTTTTCTGTTTGAGTTATATGTCCTTTTTCCTTAACTACCTGTTTAAGTCTTTTACTTATTTTTCTGTTAAGTCATATATCTCAATTTTCTATTGATTTGTAGGACACCTTATCCCCTGCCCCAGAGCTGGGGATTGAACTGAGGGCCTTGAGAATGCTCTTCCATGGAGCTACACCTCCAGCTCTGTTGTGATATTTGTCTTCTGTCTTATTCCCACATGGAAATTTTATATTTCTATGTAGGCTAACTTCTCAAACTTTTCTTTATGGCTTTTGGATTTTAAGTTATAATTGAGAGAGGCCCTCTGAATTTCAGTTGTTAGTTTTTTAATCTATCCAGCAGGGTCAAGAAAACAGAATTATTGTGAAGGTCAAAGTGCTTTGTGAATTGTAAACTGTAAATCATTATACAGATTAAATATGATGTTATTTATTAATTTGTCTTTTGAACAAGTTGTACAGAGGCTGTCATCTTTTTGCTTGCATTAAATAGAATAGAATGATACAGCTGGATGTGGTGGTTCTCTCCTATAATCCCAGCAGCTCAGGAGGCTGAGGCAGGAGGATTGCAAGTTCAAAGCCAGCCTTAGCAAAAGCGAGGTGCTAAGTAACTCAGTGAGACCCTATCTCTAAATAAAATACAAAATAGGGCTGGGGATGTGGCTCAGTAGTCAAGTGTCCCTGAGTTCAATCACCATACCAAAAAAAAAAAGAACGATATAACTTTCATCTGCAATATGGAAAACTAGGATGGTATTGCTCTTATGATTGTTTTCCTTGGATAATTTGCATGGGATTGTTTTCTATATGATTTCCACAATGATTAAATCCTGAAATATTTTTGCATATTTTAGTCTTACTGTTCCTTGTATTACAATTTGACTAAAAGTTATTAATATATTTTACTTTCATATTAGCTATGGTTCACAAATTTATATACTCTTACTTTTGGTACCAATCTTACTGACTGTTAGGAATTTACAATTTGGGAAGGCTAAAATAATTTTTGTAATTATCAAAGAAATGCATATTTATTAAGGAAGAATTGGGAAATTGGAACGATTTCAAGAGAGAAGATAAAAGTTTATCAGAATCTGTCCATGATTTAATGAGTTAATAACCAGTGTTAACATTTTGGATGTCCTCTTAGAATTTGTTTGTTTTTTTTTTTTTTTTTTGAGAGAGAGAGAGAGAGAGAGAATTTTTAATATTTATTTTTTAGTTCTCGGCGGACACAACATCTTTGTATGTGGTGCTGAGGATTGAACCTGGGCCACACGCATGCCAGGTGAGCGCGCTACCACTTGAGCCACATCCCCAGCCCCTCTTAGAATTCTTACTGTGTATATTCTTATTACATATATGTATAGTATCAAAACCAACTCTCCAGGCTTGGCATTGTGCCTGTCTCCTAGGAGGTGTTAAATAAATATTTAGTACTTAATTATAACTGACTGAATGAAAGAGTTAATTTTTATTTTTTTATTGAAGATTGAACTCAGAAGCGCTTCACTACTCAGTAACATTCCTTTCCCTTTTTTGGGGGGGTAGTACTGGGGATTCAACTCAGGGTCACTCAACTACTGAGCTACATTTTCACCCCTGTTTTGAATTTTATTTAGATACAGGTTCTGACTGGGTTGCTTAGCACTTTGCTGTTGCTGAGGCTGACTTTGAACTCGCAATTCTCCTGCTTCAGCCTCCTGAGCTGCTGGGATTACAGGCATGGGCCACCATACCCAGCCTCCCCTGCTCTCCCTTTTTTTTAAAAGAGGTTTTTTTTTTTTTTTTTTTTTTTTTGTTTTTATGGTGCTGGGAATTGAACCCAGGGCCTTGTGCATGCGAGGCAAGCACTCTACTATCCCTAGCCCCTCCCCTGCCCTTTTTGTTTTTTTGGTACTGGGGATTGAACTTGGTGGCACTTAACCACTGAGCCACATCTCCAGCCCTTTATTGTATTTTATTTAGATACAGTGTCTGAGTTGCTTAGCACTTTGCTAAGTTGCTAAGGCTGGCTTTGAACTCAGAATTCTCCTGCCTCAGCCTCTGAAGCTGCTGGTATTACAGCTGTGTGCTACCATGCCTGGCTTGTTTATTTTGAGACAGGATCTTGCTAAGTTGCTTAGGGCCTGGTAAGTTGCTGAGGATGACCTTGAACTTGCAATTCTCCTGCCTCAGCCTCCTGAGCCACTGGGATTATAGGAGTGTGATGTTGTGCCCAATTAAGAATTTATTTTTTTTAATATAGAAAGTATGAAATATCAGTGTCCTATTTTCTTTTTTCTCCACTGTATATTTTAAAAAATTGTTTTTTAGTTGTAGATGGACACACATTATCTTTATTTATTTTTATGTGGTGCTGAGGATTGAACCCAGTGCCATAGTCCCAGCCCCTCCACTGTATATCACTTTGACTTGTGTTGTAGTATTGCAATTTCTGTGTCACAATTCATTTGAAGGTAATTTCAAGTCCAGGTCCGCATGGAGCTCATAGTCTGGTGAAAGAGACAGGTAACCTACAGTTAAAATACTATATGATAACTGTAATAACAGATTTGTATAGAGCATTATGAAAACACAGAAAAAGGATATTGAGGGGTCAGAGAACACTTCCCACATGAGAGGATTACTTGAGAGAGCCATGTGGAAAAAACTAGGAAGAACCCCTCAAGGAGACAGAGTATTAAATGTGTAGGCACTCAAGTATAAGCAGGGCCCTACAAAAAACTCTATATTTGCAGTAGATTGTGTTTGTGGGTGGAGAAAAAGAAATAAATGGGGTTGGAGATGTGGGTAGGAGTCAAAGGAGGAAGAGCCTTTATATGACACACGAAGGCTTGTCAAAAGTTTGCTCAGCCTGGAAGATATATTGGAAGAGGTGAGAGGGGAGATAGGAAGACCAAAAGACATTAGTTGAATACCAAATAAGTATAGTTAAAAAGTACTACAAGAGCTGGAATGAGGTGAACATCACTTAAGCCAAGGTAGGAATGGAGCCCTGCATTAGAAAGGTGGGCTAAATCTGGAGGGTAAAAAATGATTGCCATTTTTTTTTGGGGGAGGGGTACCAGGGATGAAATTCAGGGGCACTCGAGTTCCATCTAGTTGAACTACGAGTCACACCCCCAGCACTGTTTTGTATTTTATTTTATTTTATTTATTTTTATTTTTTTTAGAGTGATAGAGGGAGGGAGAGAGAGAGAGAGAGAGAGAATTTTAATATTTATTTTTTAGTTATTGGCGGACACAACATCGTTGTTTGTATGTGGTGCTGAGGATTGAACCCGGGCGGCACGCATGCCAGACGAGCGTGCTACCGCTTGAGCCACATCCCCAGCCCTGTTTTGTATTTTATTTAGAGGCAGGGTTTCACTGAGTTGCTTAGCCACCTCACCTTTGCTGAGGCTGGCTTTGAACTTGTGATTCTCCTGCCTCAGCCTGCTGAGTTGCTAGGATTACAAGTGTGAACCACCATATCTGGCTATTTGTTTTCTTCAATTTCGAGGCAGGGGCTCAGTAAACTGCTGAGGCTAGTCTTGAACTTGTGATCCTCCTATCTCAGCTTTCCGATTAGCTGGGATCTTGTGCTAGTGTACCTAGGTGTATCTTTGGATTCTTAAAAACCACATAACTCTATTGGCATGATAAAGCTCTGTTCTTATTGCAGTATCAAAAGCTCAGGAAAAACATATTAAAAGCTCTCTTAAACGTCCGTAAGTAGAGCTGGAGGTGTAGTTCAGCGATTGATTACCTAACATGAAGGCTCTGGGTTTGATCCGAAGGACAAACAAAAAGTTCCATAACTACATTATGAAATACATCTCTAATTGAACCGTATTTGTTTTTCCTAAACTTTCATTAAAAAGAAAATATATAAAGGAAGCAAACCCCTATCGGAGGAAATATCAGCTAGTATGCTACAGTTAATATAAATCAGTTTAATGACTACATTTTTTTGCATTTGTATTTCCATATAGTCATAACCGAGTGTTTTAAGAGACTCAGGATCATTATACATTGATATTATGTGCACCATGCCATATTTTTTTGGGACACAGTACTTTTATTTATTTATTTATTCTTTTATATGGTTCTGAGGATCAAACCCAGTGTCTAACATGTACTAGGCAAGAACTGTACCCACTGAGCTACAACCCCGGCTCTACATTTCTTATATCAATTAACTAATATTCCATTTTATGCTTATAGATGGAATATATCATAATGGAAAGTTTAGAATTAAGAATACAGAAAAAATCATAATCTTTTTACCTCCAAATAAATGATAACTCTGGTACAATTTCTTTTGGTACATACTTTTACACAGTTATAATTGTTTACTCAATTTTTTTTTGTTTTTTGCCCTTCCCTTTTTTCGTTTTATATATCAGTTTTATTTCACATAACTATATAGTCTCAACTATTATGGGAGGAAGAGGATTTTTTTTTTTTTTTTTAGTTTCCAACCCTTTTCTTGTGTGTGTGAGATATTGGGGATTGAATCCAAGGTATTGTGTATACTAATCCTCTACCACTGAGCTACATCCCCAACCGTTGTTCTAACCTCTTTAGCTTTTTTAAAAAGTATTTTATTTTAAATTTTTTTTTATGTGGTGCCGGGGAACGAACCCAGTGCCTCACACATGCTATGCAAGCGCTCTACCACTGAACCACAACCCTGGCCCCTAACCTCTTTATCTTTATTTAAAAAAAAAAATGAAAAATAGCTGGGCACCATGCAGCCTGTAATCCCAACAATTTGGAAAGCTGAGGCAGGAGGATAACAAATTTGGGACCAGACAGAGCAACATAGTAAGACCACCCCATCTAAAACAACAAAAGTAATGCATGATAATTGTAAAAAGTATCAACCTAAGAGAAATGTATTGTATGATAAATGAGTCTCTTATAATCCATCAAGATGACAGTTTAGTATATATATCTTCTAAATTATTTTCTAGGTTATACTATTTTTGTTTATTTAATAAAATAAAAACAAGCCAGGCACAGTGGCTCATGCTTGTAATCCCAGCAGCTTGGTAGGCTGAGGCAGGAGGATTCCAAGTTCAAAGCCAGACTCAGCAACTTAGTGAGACCCTGTCTCAAAATGAAAAATAAAGGGCTGGGGATGTGGCTCAAGCGGTAGCATGCTCACCTGGCATGCACGCGGCACTGGGTTCAATCCTCAGCACCACATAAAAATAAAATAAAGATGTTGTGTCCACCAAAAACTAAAAAATAAATATTAAAAAATTTCTTTCTCTCTCTCTCTCTCTCTCTCTCTCTCTCTCTCTCT